GTGGGGTGGGGTGGGGGGTGGGATCTATTGTGATTTTATATGTGGAGTATTTGCACCCATTAAGTTGGAATTCTGGAGCAAATGCAGCCGTGGAAACTTGCTGAGAGCGGGATGAGAATAAAGTTTTCCCTTATCACTGTTTCGGGTAAACCAAAAAGTTACATCTACTTGTCATGTGCTGGTTTGGTTAATCTAGCTTTATCTCGCCCAGCTGCTTTTCTAGTGACCATTTCCGGTTTGGAAGTTTTCATCTACTTGGCCTTTAACCATACATTTACTGTTGTCTGCAGTTCTTTTTAATAATTTCTGCCTTTCTGGTTTTTTTTTTTTTGTTACAGGTGGTTGAAGTTTCAACATCTAAAACTGGCAAGCATGGTCATGCTAAATGCCACTTTGTTGCAATTGATATCTTCACTGCTAAAAAGCTGGAAGATATTGTCCCATCTTCCCATAACTGTGATGTATGTCTGAATTTAATGATCAATCATTTCACTTCCTCATTTCTTATATGTCTCAACCTTTTTACGTTGCTTTCTTTTCTTTAATTATACAGGTTCCTCACGTCAATCGTACTGACTACCAGCTCATTGATATTTCTGAGGATGGATTTGTATGTCTAGTCTCTTAATGTAAGCAGTGTTATATTTACGTTACTTGACTATCGTGGTTCTTGATATATTACAGGTGAGTTTACTGACTGACAATGGTAACACCAAGGATGATCTGAGGCTGCCAACCGATGACAACCTTCTAACCCAGGTACCCCTTAAGGCTCTATCATTTACTGCATCAAATCAATAGTAAAAATTGCCCTGCTTGTTGTTATGATCTCCTTCATGTTACAAGCAGAAAAAAGAAAAGAAATGTCCACCAACATGTTCTTGACACATTTCAAAAAATAACGTATTCTCGTTTGTGATATATGTGCCATGGATGGGACAAGATTGCAGGTTGTATATCTACTGTAATTTTTATATTGCTATATGAAAAATATTTTCGCTGTTTGTGCTGTTAAAAATTATTGGGAACCTTCACATGTGCTGAAGTCTGAAAAACTGCCTGCAAAAAAGTTGCTGATTTAACTGTTGATTTGAAATTGGAAGAGATTCTGAGTGAGTTGCATATTTAAGTTTTTAACTTGGTAAAGTATGTGCTTAACTGCTTGCCCTCGGATATTGTACTTTTCTGTTGCCCTTCCAGTATTGTAAATGTTTTACCTTCTTGATGATGGCCAATTTTTACTTGACATTTAATCATTGTTTGTTCAACAATTTGTGATGTTTGCAGATCAAGGATGGTTTTGCTGAGGGGAAGGACCTGGTCGTGAGTGTGATGTCTGCAATGGGTGAAGAGCAGATATGCGGTCTCAAGGACATTGGCCCCAAGTAGTTGGCTTTCTTTGTGCTAACTGTTGGTCCAGTGTTAACAAAAATATATATTGTAGTACTATTCTGCCGTCTTTTATATTTTCAACCCCGATATGCCAAGTTTATTTAGCGGCTGCGTCAAGGGTCTGGATTCTTAGACAAAACCTTGTGACTGGCATCTTGGGATGCTATGGATTTACTGTTTTGAACTTACTTACCTTTATGCTTCAATGGATATTTAATGCTATGTTTTGGAAATTGCTGACGGACTCTCTTCTATGCCATGTCATATATTTGTTTTACATACGAATGTTTGGAGTAGTTTAATGCTTTTGACGACTGAGTTCTTTGATTTGTCTAAAGAGTCAGTTTTATAGCTATGCTGAAACCAGTGAAATGATAATCAGGAATATGGCACAGATGGACAATTTGTTCATGATTGCTCATTTCTTTAACGGGGATCCCTATTACTAGTATTGAAATACGAGTAAATGCACCTTGAGAAACATATTGATGACCATGCACGGTCTTGCAATGGATTGGTGTTGTTTTATATGGAGGTATTAAAATGTGTCACGTACAGATGCCAATCAACTTGATAAAAAAAAAAATGGTTAATCTCCAATGGAGCTCTGAATTGCACCAGAAAGTGTGTCAAATTATCTCACAAATGCTTACATGACAATGAAAAATGGGAATGATGTCTAAAAGGTGTGTAGCACTTTCGGGTTAATTTTTGATATTTATCTAATTTTTTTTATTTTTTTTATGATTTATCTGAAACTCTTTCTCTATATCCTCTCTCTTTGTACATGGGGTCCATAATTGGGGCAATTTTCACCCTGGTGAAGATGTTCTCTCAATTCTCATTTTGCTTCATATGTAACGCTAAACGTACTTGGCCTCATTGGTCCTGTATGTTATAGTGGCCAGGTGGACTCCTATGATAGGTGTTCTATAGCATTTTTGTTATTTATATTGTTGCATCGAAGATGCTCTTAAATATATCTATTTCAATTTTTCAATGATGATCATGCCATTGTTTGACAGTTGTGCCGAAGTGGGCATCTTGGGTCAATGGTGAAACAACTCAAACTGGATTATCGTAGCATCTCAAATAGGGAAAATTCTATTTGTGCATGAGGGGTGAACGAAAAGGTTGACAACCTCTCATAGTGGTGGGTCCCGTTGTGATTAAAAATAAAATAAAATTATTTACCCAGGCACCCCATGTGTGAGAGATTGTCAACAACACCACGCCCTCCCCTGTACAAGTAGCACGGCTCCTCAAACTGAATCGTACAGGTCCTTGCCTTATTTGGAAACTTTGAAGTGTAAATGAAAAGGAAACGTTAAAAAAAAGGGATATGCTAAATGTACACACAATACTTTACCAAATGGATTACACCCCCCTCACATTGAGGGGGCCCACGAATATTTTATTGTGTGTGGGCCTCCCTCCATGTGAGGGATTGTAATCCATTTGGTAAAGCATTGCGTACATTTAAGAGGAAATTACACCAAATCATG